TCCAGCTTTCACAGTATATTTCCGTGCCATTTGATCTGTAACACCTACGCCAAACTTGGTATTGTTATAAAATGTAACCGTTTCAGGTAAACGTTTGCGATCGTTTTCAATTTTCACTGACTTATGTTTTGAACTGAGCACTAATACTTTTTTATTGGGTTTACTCTTGTTTATGATCAAAGTACAATTTTCGGTTTTATAAAGTACTGTCGAAGAAACGAAACATGCTATCCTTTTTTGATTTTGCAGGTTTAGGTAGTTCTCTCTTATTTTGTCTAATGGTGCCGACTAAGGAAGTTTTTTTCTTTATTAGTTTTGTTGCTAATGACAAACCAATAAAGAAATTATCTGTTGTAACAATTCTTCCGCAATTAATGTATGGATCTATAAATTTTAGGATAACAAATTCACCTAAAGATACGGATAATCTCATTCGGTCTTTTCCTAGGTAGGAAAATGCATTTAAAACATATTTACTTTTTACATCCGACGCCAACCAGACTTTTATGCCAAACTTGTTTGGCTTTTTTGGCATGTACTCCGGAAATCTACATCTGGCCTTGGTCGGAAATAATTGCTCGTCAACTGTAATGGTAGCACCTGGCTTATAACACATTTGACTGTTGTTGAATTTATTCCACACCTCTGAAACTAATGCAAATTTATCTGTTTGCAATCTTTGGTTTCTTTCATCTTTCTTATCGAACCGAATTTGCCGAAGAATTTCGGTGAATTTATTTCTCCTCATTGTCTCAGAGAGAAAAATTTGGGAGCATATTCAGCATACAGTCTGAAGAACGTATGGACGTACAGATGGACGTACAGACCGAGGTACAGACGGACATTCAGAGAAAACAAACATTATCCGATAGTCGTAGATATAAATTCAGAAACGGTTCACGGATGTACGACGAGGGACCATCCACATCGGCGGAAGCAGCGTGGAGGGAAAAGATCGATGAAAATTCGCTGCATGCTAAAGGTAAGTTTGCATTTATCGTTACTTATTAGTATGTATAATTTATTCATTTCTTTTTATTTTATTTTAGATTAAAGAGCATGCTTCCTTTTGCACCTCCACTCATCGTTTCAGCAGAATGGGATACTTCCGTAAGCCAATGGTAAGCTTGTGATCATCTTTGTATATAAAATTTATTAACCACAATATTTTTCTTTTGCAGATGTCAGCACACCCCTGCATACCAGTAATTTTTATTTCTTTATATATATTTATGTATTAGCGGGGCTTTTTATTTATTACGTATTACTATGTATTACTATATATTATTATGTATTATTATTATTATTGTAAATAATATTGTAATTTGTAATTATGTATATAATGGTGTAGGCCTACTGGAGAGCCAGCCATTTAAAACAATTGGCAACGCGCCTATCACGGTACCCCAAGGGTGGTGCGGAAAACCGTAAAAATCAGCCTCTGCACATTCTTGTACGTTGCGATTGTGTGGAAGAAGCCTTCGTGATGATGATCGTTTCGTTGCAATTGGTACAATGTTTTCTGGCAATAGATACTTAGCGTAAGGAGTAAGTTTCTTAAACAGACGATTCGTTTCGGGAAAATAAAACACATGTGTTATTACAAAAAATCTTAAAAATCCTCGCAAGTAATTATTAACTAATTTAATTTGAATTATTTTGAATTTTTGCAAGTTTTTTTTTCAAAAATATGCATTGACGTCATGAAATATGGGTAAGCAACTATTCAAATTAAAATTTTTCACGTTCAATCTATTCACATTTTTTTTTATTGTGTTTTGGCAACTGCAGGCGAGTGTTGATAAACCATTAAAATATTTACGTATACACTAACAGTTTTTAAATTTATTTCATCGACACTATTAATCATTATTTCTTCGCAACTTTTTAGCAGACTATATCTTCTTTGAATATATTATAAATCCCTTCAATACTGCGCTTATAATTCATGCGTCGTCGTTGTTGATTCCCTGAAAAAATCTTGCTAGTTGCCCAGTTCAAAATGGAAGACCATTAATACCTTTTGGTTTGGGGAGGGTTCGAAGCAAAAATCACTACCGGCAACGAACTATAAGTTGTTTGAAAATAATGCCGCCAAGCAATCACTACTTCCGGGGCTACCAAATCAACTTTGTTGAGAACTAAAATAACCTTTCTACCTACGTCATTGATTAGGTAGTTATACAGTGACGGGGGAAACATAAGAACCTGCTTAAAGGAAAAACAAAGTTATTATTTTCAACGTATGTTCCCTGTGTGTCTGCGAATACAAATAACTTTAATTAACGCCACTTATCGTAAAGCTTCGATTGTATCGAATACAGCAAGTAAAGTGTTTATCGTTAAAGAAGCCGTTAATTTAATGGCAGTTGATGCACAATGTTTTAGGGATTTCACTATTTATTTAAATATGCTATGGTCAGCTCGGTGACAGATTGACTTTGACTTTATATTTTCTTTGGGAACTACTCAGTCTTTTCGTATTGGCTGACGGTCGTATCAAAACTTATCAAATTCGTTAAATGAAATCTAAAGATGGACGTGTTAAATTAATGAACGACGTTTTGAGCAGCATTAAGATCCGTGGGTGATTAAATAAAATAGAAGGAAAGATGAAGAAGACGTTCTAACATCTTATTTGAGACTCCAAGTGCCATTCTCATTTATTCAATCATATGATATTTTATTTTTCTTATTGACTTGGTCAGCAAAAGTCGACAACTGATTGCAGTGCAAGTCATTATATTGGCATATAAAAATTCCTAATGGCGTAAAAAAGATCTGTATCTGGATATATTTGAAATATGTAAGTAAGACATTTTCTACAAATGTATAAATATATCAGCAAAACATGTTTAGTGATAGTTTCTATTTAAACTTAACGGGTCTTGTTAAGCTCGGCAAAAAATATTTTGCATATTCGTCAGATATATTATCTGACAAAAATTGGATTAATGCTATAATGAACGTGATAGACATCGCGATTAAGGGTTTCGTAATAATACCCGCGATATGGAAATCAAATAGAAGAACTTGGAAAAGCACAGTGGTGGGTATGCGAGATTCGGCCCCCGACGAATATAACTTTTTTACTTATTAGTATTGCACTTGCGTCGGGTTTCAATCTAGATGTTTTAGACCCGTCCTCTGATAAACAAATTGATCTGACGTAATTTCGAGTATTGATTTCAATGCGTCCATCGATTTATGTCAATGTGCAATCCCCCATTTATTGAGGTATATTGATGAACTTTACTTCGTAACGAAAACAGGGAGGTATGAGTACCTTTGGCATACGTGAATGTAAATGACTTGTAACTCGTGAAATATAGCTTGTTCGATTATAGAAACTATTTTAAAGCAACGAATAAAAGCAGCGAGCTTTACCCACTTCAAAAAACGCAAAAAAAACAACAAGTAAAAACGCTGGCCTGTTATTAAATACCTTACAACAATTCGTACAGTACAGGTATTCATATAACGACTTTTCGAACTAAGGTGATTCGATTTTCGATTTTTATATATAACTACCGAAGTTACTTATACACATGCAACATGGGTTAGCTTACTTTTTCTTAAACTTATCTAAATGCTATAACATAACATAAAATTTGCCGTTCCACCCACGATATTTGGTTTTACATCCTGTATTTGGTCATCGAAGGTTAATTTAAAGTGCAAATTATGCAGACGTGGCAATAAACGTTTAATTTCGCCTGGAATGGAGATATATAAGAGTTTGTTTGTTGATACTTGTAAAATTGCACTACACATTACCTATAGTAGCTGCAAATTGTTCAACAGGTGGTAAAGGTTCTCCTTTCGCTTTGATATCTTGCAGACGTTTAAACTGTTCGGGTGGCGGAAGATACTGTATCAGTTGTTTTAGTATATTGTAAGACAATATGTCGGTGTCACAGCGTAGTACACAAATTTTTATCTGCTCTTAAGACAAATGCTTAAGCGAGCTCCCTAGAAGAATGGAAAGGTTTTGTGCCGCTTTGCTATCGAGCACCTTTAGGTCAACATTTTTTTTGCTAAGTGTAGCCGCCTTATCAACAGAGTTTTTTGGCTCTTTTTTTATTGGCTTTGAGGAGAATTTAGCTGAAAATTCAGCTAATAAATCTTTCGATACTAGTTTGTCTTCTTGACATTTGACACAAAAAGATTTTTCACTTATATTGTGCGGTAATATAGCTTTCCAATTTGCCTTTTTCATAGGATCTTTAACTTCCCACTTCTTTTTCGGCTTTAAACCTTGAGATAGCGCGGGGGTCATTGGATTGAACATAGTTGGAGGACGCGATCCACCCATGCCAGGAGGTATGGTCGGAGGCGGAGTACCGCCCATGCCTGCTTCCTAGCTGGTTGCAA